GCTTTTTGGCTGGGAATCGCGGTGGTATGAGTCCGGCCCACTCTCGGACCCAGGAGCCCTGCCGCTCCCGGAGAACTCGCTGCCTGGGTGCTTGATCTGTTTTTTATGTCATAGCTATAATTTTTGGTGCTCAGATTGTTCCTCCTCTGGCCAGGGTGTTGCCAATCAGCCCAGGGTTCTTTTGCTCAATTCAGATGGGAATCATGAATCAACCAAGTGCAGCTCTGTCATCACCAGATGACAACAGTTGACATGGCCAACTGCTGGTTACTGTCACTGCCAGCTCTCATTGTCACATGCCAGCTTGTGCTGGACACTGTAGGTTCACTCTGCCAGGTGTTAAACCTGGGAATAAAAATCCTAAATATATTTATAGGACTTTTCAGGTCACACTACTTAAGAAATAACTCATGAGTAGATTTATAGGAACACTAAAGTGAGCTTTTATTGTAATAGGGTCTGTGCTATAGCACAGGGGTGCTGATACATGGAAGGGAGCCCTCTTATACTAAAATTAGAGAAGTGGCTTGGAAGTGCTTATATCACAACTTGTAGGCCTATGTAGGTGAGAATGGGGGCTGAAACCAGAGAATCTTCTGGAAGGCTTTTTGGGAATGCTGGGTATACACATAAGGGATCCAGATTGATCTTGGCTATTCTTGGATGCTCTCTCTGTTCTCAAAAATGCAACAGTACAGAATTCAGTGGCAGAAGTTGGGGAGGGACCCCACACAGTCTAGCTGCACTTATGTTGGAGTGGAGAATGGCAGTTTGATAGTCAGGGAAGACACTGAAGCAAACTTTCCTGTCCACTGGGATCCAAGGGATAGCACAGGCGAGCAAAGAGGAGAGGTGTGCTGGCCACAGGCCAAGTCATACTGTGCCTGTACCCCAGCTGGGGCAAGGAAAAATGAGTCATGTTCTTCTCCTCTGTCTCAAAGGGAATTCCCAAGAAGCTGGCTGCATGTCATCATATGTCTCTTGGTCTTGCATGAGTTCCTTGTTTGCTAACACCAAAACATTTTCCAGGCTCATATATTTCTTGTTCTTATACTGGGATTTTTTTTAAAAGGAAATAATGTTCAGAGATCATTCTTTGGATTCCAGTGCTCATTCCTTCTGGATCGTCTGCTTCTCGACCTTTACAGTAGAAGAATTAGGAGAAAAAGAAAGTTTTAGGAAAATCCCATAAATTCTTTCTTTTTTATTTTAAAGATAAAAGGATGAAACATAATAACAAACACACATACATTTACAAAATAACACAACGATAATACAAGCAATACTGAATTTCAGACAAGGTGATAGGAAATTAACAATGGTTGTTGTATTAACTATTGATACCTTCAAATTGGTTGCTCAGGTAAACAAATATAGACATTTAAGACTGATCAAACAATTAAACATTAACTGTTCCTTTCAATAAAGCAACAGAAGTCAGTAGTACAACTATGTTAGCTATGCTGTGTATACATATATACATGGTTTTCCCTCCTTTCTTTTCTCTTTTTCCTCATCCCAGTTGTTCTTTACTTTTGAGCACTTTCCTTTCATTTCCCATTATCTATCCTACCTCCTAATTTTTATTCTGTCTTTCAGGTTCTTACACAAGTGAGACAATCCAGTATTTACACATGCAGGTCTGATTTATTTCACTTATGAATATGGTCTCTAGTTGTGTCCATTTACCTATAAAAGCCTTGAGTTTATCTTTCTTTAAATGAGTAATATTCCAGTATATAAAAATACCACAACTTTTTTATCCATTCCTCAGTGGATGGGCATTTGAGTTGCTTCCATTATTTAGCTATAACAAATTGTGCTGCTATGAACATGGGTGAACATATATCGCTGTGATATGGTGTTTTCAGTCCTTCTGGGAAAATATCCAGAAGGGGAAGTGCTGGGTTGAATGAGACCTCTATTCCTAGTTGCTGAGGAATCTCCAAACTGATTTCCACAGTGGTTGTACCAGTCTACACTCCCAGTAGCAGTGGAGAAGAGTTCCTTTTTCTCCCATAAATTCTTTCTTATGTGAAATATTTCTGTTTGTTCAGCCTCCAGGGCCTCATGAGAAGAGAGGTGCTGACAGGTAAAGACTAACAGAGTAGTTTTGCTAAACTTCTCCAAGACATCAAAAATAAGGCAGTTTTTCCTGGAAACTCATTCAGTGAATTAGAAGTCATGAGCCATGTGGAAGTCATGAGCACTTCAATTTAGTTCACCACTATATTAGTCATCTTTCTATTGTTGGGACAAAATACTTAACATACACAACTGAAAGTGGGAAGGGTTTATCTTTGCTCATGGTTTCATGGGTTTCAGTCTGTGGTCAGCTGGCTCTAAGGCAGAAGCAGCATGGTGGAGAGGCATTGTGGAGCAGAGCTGCTCACCTACGGCAAGTAGGAAAGAGAAATGAAAGATTCAGAGAGAAAAGGGACTTAGGGACAGGGTATATCCTTCAAACGTACTCCATCTTTTCCAACTAGGCCCCAAAAGTCCAAAAAGTCCATTCTGCAAACGAACTCACCACTAGAACAACTCATTGATGAGGTTGTCCCTCTTGGAATAAAATTACCTCTCTATGCCCCATGTCTGAACTCTGCTACAAAGGAGATCAAACTCTATGTGGATGATACTTCACATTCAGCAATCAGATAGGGTTACCATATCAATCAAATAGTATTGCCTACACTGGAGGCTCAGAAAAGCATGGGCAGAGCTCAGAACAGCAGAGTGACCAGCTGTGTTTATTTACTATTCTTTCAAACAAGATTAACAGACTTCCACTGGCTTGGGTCTTTTTTGAAGTTCTGGGGAAAGAAGGATACTAGCAATGTGTTCATAAAGTCTTGCTTTTGAAAATTTGAAAAGTAAGCTATTCTAGCCGCAAGTGTTTAAGGTCACACAGTTTCCACTAGGTTGGAAACTAGGATGTTTGTGATAGAGTGGTTGGGTGCAAATTTTGATAATTCTAGGAAAATCAAAGTGGGAATGCACTTAGTTTGGTTTAAAAGGAGATACATTTATATGGTTTGGGCCAATAATGAGCATGATTTAATTGTTACTAGCTACCTGGGTATAGGAATAACTTCTTGGAGTAATTCTGTGCTTGATTGTGTGTTTAATGGAACATCCAAATATTGAAAAGAGTGAAGCAATGGTGTGAATCATTAGGAGTGATTTTAAACTTCTTGCTGACCTAACACGAAATACTGACACTGCAATGATAACATAAAACTCATAAGTCCTTACACATATTGGGGGATGAAGTTTGGTAAGAGTAGGCTGTGGTTTAAGAATGCAGTTTTTCTCATCAGTGCAAATCATCCCCCACAGTGTCCCTTCTCAGGTTGGTGTTGCTTGGGTGTGACAGTTGCTAAAGGTTTCACAATGCCTGCCATTGCTTTTTGAACATCACCTGAAAACTTCTTATCTTAATAAAATAGCTGTCTAGTTTTATCCTTAAACAATTCACTCCCCATATCACATAGACTATGTCTATAAAAAAATTCATGTTAAAATCAACTATATGGAAAATATCATGCTAGAGGCTGTCTTTGTACTTGGTAGTGAGTTGTTGGCAAAGAAGTCATGGGAAAAAGGCACAGTGTGTGTAGAAGAAGACCGGGGGACAGAAGAGAATGGTAGAACATTTCTGGTGCCCAAGCCAGGAGGAGAGATGGCTGGGTGCTCCATAAAGGACAAGGTCCCTTCTGAACATGAGATGAACATGTGACACCGTTGGTTAGAACACCTGAGGTGAGACATACACTTGGAGAAGAGAACTTCCCTATGAGATTCAGCTAGACTTTGATGAAGCCACCTTCATGTGGCTTCCTTCCCTTATGATCCTGTACTCTGAGATCAAATGACAGCTAGCAAAGTACCTATACCAAAAGAGATACCTGCCTTTCATATTAAAGGAGATATAATGACTGTGTCCAATATCCACAAGTCCAAATTTGGGACCATAACACGATCTCAGTAATTACTGAGTTTTTTCAAGCTTGACCTTCTATAACCTTGCCTTGATTTTTCACTAAGAGCTGCTGTCTATCACACTGCCTCTATGTGAAACATTTTGAGGGCTGAGATCTCTGTTCTGCATGGTACAGATTAGCATGGCAAGCAACCTACAACATGGTCCTGGGCCTCTGCACCTGCTGTGGCTCACCAACACCAGCAAATGATCACTTTAGAAAAGCACTAATATGTTTTGTATTTTAAACTTGGCAGACAATTTAACCACTGAATTAGCTGGGTCTTAAAGGGAACCACGACAGGCTCAGACCGGGTAATTTGGGGGCATTATTTACAGAGACAGTTTATACATGACCAGGCATGTAAAGGAAAATGGCAAGGAATTCTGGAGAACATCAGAGGTAGCAAAAGAAAAAAGGCCTAATGGATAAGGGGGAAAAAAAGCCACTAGAGCATGTGAGGGCTGGGCTCTGAACTGCAGTGAGCTTCACAGCTAAATACACTTTGTCCTCACTCACCTGTCTCTAGCACACACCCAGCAGAAGCCAACGGGCAGGGAAATGTGGAATGCAATCCACACAGCTCAGCTCCTGGGGTCTGGGTCGGATGGTGAGTAGTGGCGCTCACACAGAGAGGAGCACCAGACAACACCCAGCCCAATAAACAGAAATGAATATTCAATTTAATCAATGTTAATCTAATAAACATTTATTCATATGACATTGATCAGTTAGGAAAAAATTCACTGACACTCAGGACTAAGAGTTTTAAACATTGTTTCTTATATCCAGTAACAGAAACTAACGCAATAGTTTCCATACAACATCTCTTCTTAATCTGAAGAGGACAACTTTGATCTTCATTATCATTTCATTTGAACTTTCATTCATCTTATATTTTCCTCAGGAGAAGTCTGAGTAGCAGAAAAGTAAATAATTTTTATGAGCTCCGCAGCAAAAACAATTGTTTCTGTTGCATTTTTATCACTGAAGTGTTCCCACTTATGAAACATGGAACATGATGACTTTTCCATCCAAAGTGGGACAACTATGAAAAGAAAGAGACCTGGTATGTAAAACTTCAAGTTGTGTTTCTGTGGTTATGACTAGAAGTGAAAGAGTTTTCCTTTACCTTCATAAACGAGTGAGTTTCCTCTCTTTAGCCCAGTCTTGGACATCTGCCTCTCCAAATATGAGGTAGAAGACCAATCCTAATACACTAATGGCAAACAACAAGAAAAATATATTCCTCCACCCAAACTCAGGGTCCTGGAGGGGAAAAAAAACCAAACAAACCCCAATGAATATTATTGCTTTCATCTTTTTTTCTATGACACTTCATATTATTAATTAGGAAGATAATGTTCACAAAAGAGTTTCCATGTAAAAATTCATGTCCTGAAAGTAGCTTGATAGATAGAGAACAAAATTCCAAATACATTTAAAATGTTTTTAATAAAAAACCATTTGGGCACATTTATAATTAGCTTATATCACATCATTAGTCACTATTACCAAAGTGCCATGTACTTTCTTGTATAAACTTTGACTGTATAAATGATAAGTGCCAGGAATGTTTTAATGATTCTTCTTATATTGCAATGGTGTAGTGAAAAGATTATGGACTTTAGAACTAGACATGGGGCCAGGGATATAGCTCAGTGGCATAAGCACCTTTCTGGCAAGCACAAGGTCCTGAGTTCAATTCCCGATACCAAAAAAAACCCAAAACAACAAGACTTAGACATGTCTGAGTTAGAATTATGATTATACATCTTCTTGGCAGAAAGACTTTTTATCAGATTTACAGTTTAATCATTTGGAAATTTGGGTAATCATATTCAACTTTCATAATTGATGTGAGAATCTATACTTAAATAAGATGATTGCATGTGAAATATCTACAATAATTCCAGTATGCAACAGAGACTTAAAATGTTTGCTTACATTATCCTTTTCCTTTTGCATGGTCATGAAATGAAAATTTAAAAGTATTGCAGATGACATGGCAGAGTGATATGGAATTATCATCTCAAGATTCCTGTGTGGTTGTGATTTCAGTGTCAGATACTGATGACCAGTACATCACTAGTTAGTGTTTTTGTTTCCAGAATGAACCAGACTTGAGATTATCAAAGAGACTGTTCTATATTTTCCTTTACTAGGTTCATTGTCTTGATATTACCCATAATTCAACTGGATTTTCCAACCTTTAAATATAGTCTTTATGCTATCACTTTTATAAATGGATTAGGGAGAGCATTTTAAGTCTGTTTTGAAAAGAAAACTCTACCTGATTGAGGAGAAACCCATTGACGATTGGTACCAGCACAGCTGATATGTGTGCAAATCCTCTTGTGGCTCCGAGAAGAAAACTGGAATATCTGTGGGTGATAGGAATGTTCCAGACCAAATCCAGAGATTCCCGAAGTACACTTTAGCCCTGTTCTATGTAGGAATCCATCACATAATTATATCTAAAGGGACTTGTGCTGTGTGTACTTAATGAGAGACATTATCACAAACCAGTACCCCTCCTACTGCATATAGGATTATCTGTGATTCCTGTGTATAATTTATTCTTTTCCAAAGCTTGGGGCTCCCAGCAAGGCACAAGTTAAACATTTTTCAGAGAACATGATACTCAAAGTGGAGACAAGAGTCCTACCTTGGAGCAATATCTAAGGCATTGATATAGACCCCTGACTGACTTAAGGGGCTTAGTCCACATGACAGCGTGAGAAATACAATTGTTGTGACATAGCTGGAACGGAGGTAGAACAGGGTCAAAACGAGTACTGAAGAGGGAAGTTGACCTAGGGAATGGGAGGCAGACAAATTAAACAGTGACGTTAATTCTTTGTTGAATGCTTGTGAACTTTTCAGAACTCAGGCTCTGTTCTTACCTAGAAATGAGACAATTTTCCTCACAGTGACAAATCTAAAATTCTTGGTCAGAAGGAAATCTGCCAGCTGGCCTCCCAGGAGACCAATGATCCAGGCAACAAGGAAAGGAAGGGAAGACAAGAGGCCATTCTGAGGGGAGAAAATGGAGCAAATCACATGAACAAAGGTGCAACTTTTATCATTAAGTCACTAATAATCATACTGACACCCTGAAGTTAATCTTTCTTAGAAAAGTTGGTAACCTTTTCAATCATACTGTCAGGAAATCTACTGGGACAAGTGTTAAAGTTTAGATTATTTTAAGTAGTAGAAAATAACTTGCTCTAGATGGAATGATTTGTGAAGGCAGAGTAATTGGTGAGTCATATAAAAAGAGAAATGGACGGATATATACTCACATCTCTGATGTTGACTTTGTACACGTGACTGATGTAAGTGGGTATGTACATAACCTGCGTGTTAATTAACCACTGATGGCTGAAACTGCACAGACAAATGGACCAAAGGGGTAGAGAACTGAGTATAGCTTTGATGGGAAGATACTGTTCTTCTGAGCTGACCTGAAAGCAAAGTTAAAATCTGAGAAAGGCTCACACCCTCTTAGTTACCTTTAGGAATACAGATGCTGACTCAAAGTCTCTGCAGGAGGGGGTTGGAGTCCTTATGTGTACCCACCTGTTGGTCCAAGGTTGATAAGATGTACTCCTTTTCTGAGATGCCTATCCATGGGTGAGAGACAGGGTCATCATACACCAAAAGAAACCAGAGAAGGCTCGAGACACAGCCAAGGCCTCCTGAAAGCAGAAGGTCAAATTGTTAACTGAGTTCATTTCTGCCTTTTGAATTAATTTATTTTATGTTGGAACGTTTTCTTGTGTAGGGCCAAGGAAAAGTTCTTATGCTGCATATCCCCGTTCCACTTCTCAAATTATTCACATGTATATTATAGCTTTCAAGCACCCCTTTCTTCACATTTCTTGTTTATTTGTGTGTGTAAATCACATATCTTAGTAATGGCATAGCACTTGGTATCAATCTTTTTCATAATAGCCATTCTAATAGGTAAGTGGTGGTATCTAGTGTGATTTTTATTCACATTTTCATAATGGCTAAGGATATTGAGTTATGTACAACTTGTGAGTATTTTATCCAGTGACTCCAGAATTGGGAGTTTTTCAATCTGCCTTATTGGAATAAGGAATAAACCTGGTTCACTGTTAGTCCTCACACTCTGAATTCTCTGACCTTGGCCCATAACCCCACCCTGCACATTTGCTGTTCTCCCTCTGTATTCTCTTCGAAGTATCTTTACCCATATTTAAAGTTGAGGGTTTTGTGTTCCTACTACTAAATTTTGGGAGTTTACGTATTCTAGACAAATGTCCTTCTTATATGTGTTTTACAAGTATTTTCTCCTCAAATCAGCTTGTGTTTTTATTACCCTAACCACGTCTTTTGAAGAGCAGACATATTTTAACTTTGATCAAATCCAAGTTATCCATTTCCTATTTCATGAGACAGGATTTTGGTGCTATGTTCAGAAAATTTTTGGCCTGTGAAAAAGTTTTATTTCTATGTGTTCTCTTAGAAAGATAATACTTTCAGTTTTCATACTAACGTTTGAGATTTTTCTCAAACTAGTTTTATATATGATGTAAAATATGAATCAAATTCATAAAATTTTTTTGAGTGTTGATATCTGACTTTTGAGCACCATCTGTTAAAAAGACTGTCCTTTTCCAGTTATTGCACTTTTGTCAAAGATTAGTTTACGTTAGTCGTATGAGTCTATATAGATTGTGGTCTATTCTGTTGACCCTTTTGCTTATCTTTATGCCAATACTTGATGACTGTCACTTCATAACATGCCTTGACATCAGGAAGGCAATTCCAACATTTCAAAGTTGTTTGGCTGTCCTTGAATATTTACATTTTCATGAGAATTTGGTTTGTCATATCTTTGATCAGATTTATCACTGCATTGAATATTTTTGATGCTTTTGAAAATGATACTGTTCTCTTTAATTTATATTTCTAATTCCTTCACCTTTTCTATGTCTGAAAACACCCTTATCTTGCCTTTGGTTTTAAAATAACTGTTTTCCTCTGTGTCTGAAATTCTAGGTTGACTTTTTTCTTATGCTTTGAAAATCTGCCATGTTCTTGCTTACTTTGCTTCTGCTAGAAAACTGGCATTATCATTATCTTTTCCCCTCTATGTATAACATATCCTTTAGCTTTGGCTACTTTAATTTTTTTTCTTTTTTAGCCATTTGATTATGATGTACCTTGGTGTAGTGTACTTCATTCTTCTTGAGCTTGAGTTTTCTACACCTTCTTGGATCTACAGATTTATAGTTTTCATCAAATTTGGAAAAATTTTAATAGCATATATCTCCATTCTAGTCCTGTACTTTACGTACTACACACATTACTCATGTTCTCATTTTATTATATTTTCCTTCTGCGGCTCATTCTGAATTGTCATTATTGTTGCTTTTATATTCGTTAATCTTTCTTCTATTATATCAAATCTGTCATTATCTCTATCTAGTGCATCTTTCACCTCAGATACTGTATAGAAGTACATACAAGAACATCTCCAGAAATTTGGTTTGGTTCTTCTTTATACTCACTGCACCTCTGCTTAACTTTTTGAATATACAGAGTTACATCAGAATGTAATTACAACTATTTTCATGTTCTTGTCTGCTAATTCTAAGATCATGCTAGGGCTGGATCAGTTTTAATTATTTATTATTCTCCTTATTATGGGTTGTATTTTCCTGCTTTTTTTCATGTCTGGTAATTTATGGTTGGAGCTAGACATGCTACACACTGCTGGGTGCTAGATACTGTGTTGTTCCTATAGATACTTGTGAGTTTGTTCAGGGATATAATTAAATTGTGTCAAAACAGTTGTATCCTTTGAGGTTTGCCATCATCATTTGTTAGAGGGAAGCATAGCAGAGTCCTCTCTAAGGCTAATAATTTCTCACTAGTGAGGAAAAACACTAATGAGTATTTTATCCAATGACCCATGCACTGTTTTTCAATCTGTCTTATTGGAATAAGCAATAAAGCTGGTTCACTGTGAGTACTCACACTCTCAGTTCCCTAGACTTAACCCATCACCACACCCTTCCTGCTGGCCTCTGTTTGTTTACACACAGACCCTGATCAGTGCCTGGCTGAGTATGTGAGGGGGACTGCATATAAATGTGCGGTCTGTGTGTACAGCTATCCTCCTTAAGACAACCTGTACTATGAACTACACCTGTCCTACTGTCTCCTATTACATCCTTCCCTCAACTCAGCATTACTGCTGGGCTTTGCCTGAGTCTGCTCTTATGGTGCTGTGCCCTGGTGTTCACCCTGCATGGGCTTTTCCTTGTCTGATGTTCACTGATTTAACAACCACTGCTTTATACATTGTGTTTAGTTTTCAGGCTAGGCAGTGTGTCTAGTGCTTTCTGCCATATTTAAGTGGATGTGGACGCCCAGTGCAATCTTACATTGGCTGCAGCCTTCACTGTGCATCTGAATTACACTCACTTTTTAAACATTGACGCTCCTTGATTTTAGGTATAAATTCCCCACTCGTGATGTTTTATTCTTTCTGCAGGTTGGTAGGTTTAATTTGATGATATTTTTTCAGGGTCTCAGTGTTTAGGTTCAAAGATCATCCCTTTTTTGTAATATCTTTATGTGACTTTGTGTCAAGATAATTCTGATCTCATAATGAGTCATAAAGTATTTTATTATATTTTAAGGAATAATTGATAGAGAATTAATATCATTTCTTGATTACACACTTGGTAAAAATTGCCAGTGAAACTGTGTATTTAGGGGTTTTCCTTGTTGGAAAGCTTTAGACTAAATACAGTTTCTTAAAATGCATGGAATGTGCAGGTTATTTTCTTCCTGCTTAAGTGAATGTTATTACTTTGTGTCCTTTAATTAATTTGTCAACTTTATCCAAATGACCAAATTCATAGGCATATTGTATTTCACAATGTCTCTGCATAGGCAGTTAGAATAATGAGACTGAGAAAATTACTTCCCTCCACTCATTTGAGTTTGGACAGCACCTCTCTGTACTAAGAGAGGTAAAAAATAATATAACAGGAGCATATAACATAGATGAGAGCACATGTGCATTGGAGTTTCTGACCTGATTGTCAGTCACCTTTACCTTGGTCTCATGACTTTTTTTCATCCATTTAAATTGTGTTGCTTAATTTTTAAGCATTTGAGGTATTTCTAGATACCCTTCTCTTACTGATTTCTAGTTTGTTTCCCTTATATTAAAAAACATATATTTTCTATAATTTTCAGTTTAAGTGTGCTTTTTATGGTTCATAGATTATCTTATTGATGAATGTTTGAAGTATACTTGAGGAGTATTATAATCCTGTTGAATGAAGTCTACTTCATCCCTTGAATATACCCATTTATTCTATTAATTATTAAGAGAAGAATTTTGAGATCTCCAGCTTTTGTTATGTATTTCTTTATTTCTCCTTGCTATTCTATCTGCTTTTGCTTTATGTATTATGAAGCCCTGTTGTTAGGTACATATATATTTGAGATTGCTATGTCTTTGTGGTGAACTGGTAATATTGGTGACTGAAATTATTGCTATCTGATGTTAACACAGCCACTTAATTTTCTCTAGATTAGTGCTTTCATAATTCTTTGAACTCTGAAAGACCCCCAAAACTAACCAGACTCCACCTGTCTCCCTAGGGAAAATGTGTAGAAGGGAAAGAAGATACATAAACAAATGCAAGCTGGTAAGAGATTCGAAGCAAAACATGGAATCTGTGGACTAGGCAGTTGTTTTTTGATTTCTGATTAGTTAAATGAAAGTCCTGGGCTAATCTGGAGGTTGGCAAAAACCATTCTCTTTGTTAGTGTCTTCTTTCCTTTAGGAAACTCATGGTTTTTCCAGGACCCCTTATTACCATGCTTAATCCGAGACAAAACCCACTTATCTCTTTAGATTTCTTTCTGCTATGTCTCACAAACCACTGCTCTGCAAGCCTTTTTCCTACTGCTTGAAAAAAACCAGGCAGCCTGGTGACATTGTGATGATGCATTGTGGCTGTCAATAGAACTTTATCACAAGCAGGAAGATTTTCATATTCTGTGATGGTGCACATTAACAATTTCTTTGTATTATATTATGATATTTTGGGTTTCTAATATTTTTCTGTTTTGCTTCATTTCCTTCAGAAAAGTACATGCAGTTGCTTGTACTCAGAAAAGCCTTGCTGAATAGGAAAGCCTGGGAACTGGGAGAAAGACAGGGCTTACCGAAGATATAGAAGACAAAGGGCCATCCAAGGGCTTGACTAATGATGCCACCAAAGAGGATAGCACTGAAAATTCCCAGTATCATTCCTGCAGAGACAGAAAGTAAATTATGGGGCTTTTTACTCCTCCCAACACACGTGTAAAGGTTAATAGATGCATCTGGAGTAGCATCACCAGATCATGGGGATGAGCACATTGAAATACAGAAACTTCAGATTCATTATTTAGCTCATATATTTTCCTGAGAACCCATTTTTCCCTGTTAGTTCCCTAATAATATTGCAGATGACCATCAAACTTTCTTTTATGCTATTTTAAATTTTAATTACACATGTATATGCTTATTGTAAAAGTAAACTATTAGGAAAGCCAGTTTATCTCACATGCCCTCCAAATCCATTTCTATTCTTCTCTCTGAAGATAATCATTAGTAAAAACCCATAATTTATGATAACAACATATAAGTGCTTACCTTGTCTTCTCTGCACACATACACAATATATATCTACACATATACTCATTTTCTTTGTAAATACATTCATGCAATATCTACACAGAACATCAGATTTGCCTATAAATAACACTCTTAATTTCCATAGCTTTATAGAGTTTGCCAACTGTGTGATAGGACATGTTCCATTTTTACAACTTTTTCAAATATTTCTAGGGTATTATAATTTTTATACTGAAGATTAACATTAACTGGCCCAATCCTGTATATATTTAAGGGAGTTATTTTCAAACATGCAGGATCATAATATTTCTGTTGCTTTGAGACACTCCTTTTTCTTTTAACAGTTGGTCTTACAAGTATTTCCATGTCACTGCAGATTCTAACTACTTCTGAGCATAGATAATAATTACTCATTTCTGAACCAAACCATAATTTTTTGCACATTAGAATATCAAATATGGACTTGGTAGATCAAAAGCTATGTGTTCTTAAATTTAGTAAGTCCTACTAAATTACCTTGCGAAAAGGCTGTGCTAAATTAAGCTGCCAACAAATGTCTTTTCCCTCATCTCCTTTATGACATTTAACATCCTCAAAGTTTTAAAGACTATTCTTCCAATATGAATGAAAGAGTATCACTTTAGTTTCCTCTTTTATAGTGAAATAGAGCCTTTTCCCCATTTTTAATTATAAGCCTTACTTCTTCTGTGAACTGTTGATCTTTCTTCACTCTATTTCTGTTGCTCATTTATCTTTACTTCAATTTACAGAGCTTTCATGTATTGTGAATAATCATCTGTCTGGTATGCTGGTTGCAGTTCTGCCACCTTGACTTTGCTTATTTTGAATCTCATAATCAGCAGTTGCTTTTATAATGTCAATCTATGATGCTTCTCTATAATGACCTCTAGGTTTACTCTTTTGCTTAGGGGTTTCCCCTACCCTACAATGTAAAAAGTGGTTTCTTATGTTTTCTTTCTGATTTATATAGGTTCTATATTCAAATTATTGCCTGTGTTATGTCATTTAAGCACTAGTAATCCAATTTGCACTTGAGAAAATAGAGACAATGAAAAGTTAAATAACTTGTTGAAGGGTGCAGAGCTAATAACAGAGGAAGGAAATGTTTGAAAACATGTCACCTGATGCTGGGGCACAGACGAAGATGAAAACCAGCATTTTTCGGCCAGCAGGCCTATCTAGTCTACACCTTTCCCTAGAAGCCATGCTTTGGTGATAGTGAGGAACAGGTTCCTGTGTGCATCCAAGCAAGGTCCTTCTTTGTCTGGTCTCAGCCAGTCTACTCCAGGCCTGGAATTCATTCTCCCTCCTACATCCTCACTCCCTTCATTGTGTCTAGACCCCTGGCCATCCACGTGCAAATGAGACATTTATATGAGCCAGGGTAAAAGGAAAATATATGTTCTGGTGTCCTTTTGCATAGAAGCGTGATTCTAGGCAATAACAATGTACTATATGCTACAAAAGTGCTAGAAGAAAGGGTTTTGAATGCTTTTTCCACAAAGAAATGGTAAATATTTAAGGAGACAGATATGGTTGCTTGATTTGAATGTTATACAATGTTTATGTGTATTGGAACATCACATAGTACCATTAATATGTACAATTCTTATGTGTCAATTGAAAATTAAAATTAAATTCTTCAATACACAAAAGTAAAAATTTCTGCCTCCTAAGAATGCCATCTTGACATTCTCTATTTTGACATTTCTCTATTGCCCTTCAGGACAAAACTTTTCAAAAGGTTGACTGAACAGTCAATAAGTATAAGAGACATTTGGTCAGTCGGGTGCTAAAACTATTGAAATTCGATTGTGCCCACTTCTTCCTAACTTTGTATTCAGTGATTTGATATGAATTCCTTGACACTGGCCACTGTGGAAGTATCTAGAGCACAGAAATTGATAAATACTATCAATCAGTGTTTTTACTCCTAGAGAGCCTGTATACTAGCACCATACTGCTGATTCAAGATTCAGGAGGAAGTAATTCAGCCACCCAAGGAGGATATGCATTCTGCCTCCATGTGCTCAGGGAACATGATAAAATCCATGTCAACGTTGAAGTTCTTTAGTGAGCTGAGCGGTGGCCAGGTGTAATCATCCCTGTTTCCCTCATAGGGTAAACTTGTGTCCTTGACCCCTGATGCTTTCCTGCTATGGACACCCTTGCTCCAGCTCCATCTCTGGTTCTCATGGCAGCAGAAAGGCACAGAAAAGGTGTTTGGACACTTGAGCATTGGGCACACTTGGTTCAAGTCATGTGGTCCTTCCACTTGCTTACACCCTGTCTTGACTGGGTTAATTTATGCCATTTTCCTTCCTTCACTTCTCACTATGTTTTAAATTATTCTAACAAATTTTGCACCTCTAGCATCTAATTTGTCCTGAGACAAAATATGCCTGTTTCATAGCTTTTGATATAGTGTACCTAGTACATGGTGTACCTATACAAGCACACTCCTCCTAATAGCAGCACACTCCACCTAGCCCTGAGGCTTACAAGGCATCTAACCCTGAGCCTAGACATGTGTACTTTATTCACTATATGTGTTTCTAGTATTTATCTATGTTGTCTTATACAGCGGTAGTTTCTTCATTTGCACTTTTGCGTGAAGTGTTAAATTAAAGGTATTTCAGTCTTCATCCCCTCCCCCATCACCTATTAAACTGTTTAGTCTTAGTGTTCTACCTTTGAGTTATTAAGCTGCTTAAGTGACTGCAAAGTTTTCTACCCATATAGATATACCCGTGCAGGCCCTCTTAAAGGAAGATATTGTGCATGTACTTTGTGCTAGAGGTTGCAGTATATTGGTCCTTCTGTTGAGAGTAGTTACCTTTCTGGGGACTCCTTCTCCAACTTTATGGACTAAGTGATCCTGTCTACCCATGTAGCCTGCTGAGAAGCCCCAGCATCACTTGGTAGACATTACCAGTGGCCTTCCACTGGACACTCTGGTAGCCATGGGCTCTATGCTTTCTGAGGCAGGTTTGTGGGGCCCCTCCATGAGGTCCCCAACCAAAGACAAGGAAGCCTTTGCAACTCAGACCCCTGTAGACCCCTGAGATTCTTTTACATACTCAGTTGACCTATTCTGGTTGTTTAATTTCTATACAATAGGAAAGGAAAGGAATGGGAATCACTATTTCTGTAAGGTCACTGTCTTCCTTTTAAAACTTAACTTTTCTTTTGTGCTTTCTATCTTGGTTTTTCTTGTGTATTCTGGGATAACCTCACAGGGGAATGACTGAACTATCCAGGTTGGACCCTCCCTTCCTTTATCAGTGAACTCAAACACTGATAAGAGAGAGTAACCCTCTCAGAACTGTGAGAGGATTTAGATGGGCTTGCTGTTGGGAAAATGTGTGTGTAGTTTGCTTTTGGGGTTTGAAGAGTCATTGGCTCTCGCCTCTTTGTCTAGTTACCCAGTAATTTGTCCTTTATTTTCTTACCTAGTACTAACTTTGTGGTTCTTTTAACCACATACTGTCCAGTTCTCACCCTTGCTCAGTATAATTTAGACTTCTTCTTCTAGAATGCTTATTCTTGACACATTGTCCTGATAGATCAATTATCAGGAAAAAATCCTCAGGACAATCAAGAGCAATTCCAAAGAAGATCAGACTGAATACTAGTATGAACTCCAAAGTGCCACCAAGAAACTAACATAGAAACATGAAGCTGCACAACTGTAAGAAAAAACAAGGATGAATGTTTTATAATCATTCCGTCTAGGACGAAATTCCAGATGTTAATCAGTTTAACTACATTAAGGTTTTTTAAATATCAAAAATCATAAACACAATCATGCACAAATGATAACCTAGGGAAAGGAGTGTAAAGTCATGTCACCAACAAAAACAGTCTCCTTACTCTAAATAAATATTTCATTGACACTGAGCAGAAGAGGAAGAACTATGCCAAAGCAGAGTTGCCACAGAGCCCAGTGGGACAGTGTTGGGCTGCCCTGGGCCAGTGGCAATTACATCTTTACCTGATAAAGAAATGCTGCAGAGTCTGCTTCGTTCATGTGGAGGAGCCCATCTTGGCCAAAGTGCAAAGTGACCTCCAAATCCTGAGCCCTGAAATAAAAATGGCTAGAGATCTTGACATGTGTTGCTATGTAGAAATTCATAGCCAGCAGATTTAGAAAGTATTGGCTACCTGGGTTAGACCCTGGACTACTCGAGTGGCAATGAGGTAAGATAGTCCAAGATTAGCTGCCAAAGGGATGCAGAGAGCGAGAAGTGATGATCCCAATAAAGCGACACCGGCCACTTTCCTTGCTCCCATTTTCCCTGCCAGGTATCCCCCGGGGGCCGTTGTCAGCAGCATGCCATAGTTGATGGAACTGAAGAGTATGCCTTGGGTCTGAGGACTCCAGTCATACACAGGGGCCTTAGAGAAGCAGAAAAACGCTACAGTCAACCATCTATACAAGGGTTCTTCTATATCGCAAGAAGCTTCTTTGCATCTTTTACTTGCTTTCAAATCAGTATTTTCTCAGTTAAAAATTGTGAACATAGAAACTGAAGAAAAATAAAGATCTAAATAAACACATAGCAAAAATAAGAGATCAAATTTAAATTTGGCATTGCTTACCTTTGCAGGAAGACTCGTTGGGGCTTTATCTGGGCCACCTGGTAAATCTACAGGGAGCCCCTCGGTAGAATTGTTGATGTCGGACTGGTGGTCTGTGCTGTTTACCATGGCTACCATGGTGATAGTCAGGACGGCATTCTGTGCAGCCAGCATGAAGTTGAAGAGATGTGCAATGAGGGCTATTCCGTAGCGAATGGAACAAAAGCTTGGAACTGCAAGTATGATATCACATTGAGTGTTCTCTTTATTAACCCAGCATTAATTCCTTACAGGATGTCATACAGAAAGTACTGGAGACCATCACTGGATGACCTGAATGGCACTTGTATTGGTTTCAGGAAAAGAAGATATCAAAGGAGAAGATTACTGAGTTGAACCCAAAGGCATTTTATACCACAGACTTACAGAGCCTGAGTCACTCTGGGGCACTATGTCTAAGGTGTAGTTCTGCCTCTCCCTCTCCCAGGTCAATGTGCTAGGGGATTGGTGAAATTATCCACAAGTATAAAAAAATAAACAAATATGAAAACCATATTAAAAATGAATATACACATATACATAGATACATATATCATTTCCTTTCTCATGTTTTCTCTTCTTCCTTGGCTCATTCTACTCTGTCTGCACTACACCTCTGTCTTGCTCTGTGAACCTTCTTCCTCCATCCGCAGGCCTTCCTACAGCTTGTTTCTCCTCTGTGGTGTGCTTTCCCTCAGCTGGCTGCCTGGCCAGTGCTCTGGTGTAACGTTAAGGACTTTGATCTTGCTTGATTTGTATTTTGCACAGTGCTAACACCCTGTGATTACTATGATTTGGTGTTCTGCGTTGTGTTTTATGTCCTTTTCTGGCAAGTGCAGTCCCCTAACCAGTTACATCTGCTGCTTGCTGCTACATATACTGGGAACTATAAGTATTTGTTCAAAGGTATAAACTCTGGACTGGAGAGCATGGTTTAGAAGGTCAGTCCAGTTCCCTGCTATTTCCTGAACTGAATGGATTCTCCTGTCCCGCATAGGCTTCAGAATGTGATGAGCAACACTTTCTCAAGGTGTTGGCTCAAACTTGTTAATCTATGTCCTTTTTCTTTTCACAGGGAGAAAAGTAAATAAGGTAGAGAGAATTCCACAGAGCTACTTTGTCCAAAGTCCTTTTGTAAAGAAATCTTGACCAGCTAAATACAGCTTCCTGCCTTACACATTTACTCTGTGCAAAATGCTTCAGCAGCCTCCATTTCCCTTAAAATAAAAGCCGGAGCAGGCTGTTGGCTGTGCTGTGTGGGTATAGCTTCTACTCAGCATAATGCTTCAAGGCCACCTTAAGGGGCTGAGGAGAAGGCGAACCTTCAGAGGTGTGACCGAGTTTCATAACCTCTGATCATGATCTTCAAAGTTCAGTTTCTAAATGATTCTATCCTTTAATTTCAACTATAAATGCTGATTTTTTCCTGTTTTGTATTTTCTAGACAAAGCAGCCACGATCTTGGAAAGGAAGCCTGAGGTTTCTGCTTTGACATTATCATCTTCCTTGGGGTGAAAATACCAATTGTTTGAATACCGTGCTCATTTCTTCCTCTACTATATTTTTTTTACTATATTTTCTCATAGTTTGCAGGTATCAGTTTCTCTAATGTGGAAATTGTTTCAGGGGTTTCATCTCAAAATTTAAAATGAAAGCTTGTTCTTAATTCCCAAAGACATGAGTAGAATAATTATATACAGCAACAAGGAACTCCCTCAAGGTTTAAATTATATTTTATTTATACATATGAAATATGAGTATTTTGAGGCAAATAGGAGACTACTGAAGGGTTTTTGGAGCAGAGAGTCAAGATATGACTGAGCACTAAGTTGAGGCTTTGTGAGACCCAGCCATGCCTGAGACAGCCACAGAAATTGTGAGGTAGGGGCTGGGGATTTAGCTAAGCGGCACAGTGCCTGCCTGGCAAGTGCAACGTTGTGAGTTTGATTCCCGATACTGGAAGAAAAAAAAAAAAAAAGAAATTGTGAGGTAATAAATATGTATATCTGTGACTATTGTATTTGTGGTAATATGTGTAGGAGGATAGCAAATGAATATAGTGGTAAAAAGTAATAAAGGTTACTTGAATGTGCAATAATTGCATAAGGTAAACATTGAAAGATGTTTAATTATAAAGCATTGAAATTTATCATGAGAATAAGTAGATAAAATATCTTCATACTGAGAAATAAGAACAAGCATAAAAATCCATGGAATGCTACAAAAACATGGAAGAGAATCATGGAATATGCAAAGGATGGTGTAATTAATGAGAGAAAACTAGATTATATATTAAGTAGTACTGTGAAAACTGGTTAAATATATGGAAAAATATTGTTGGAATAGTGTCTCATTTTAAATTAAAATAAAATCTAGATATAATAAACTTGTATTTCATCAAATTGAAGGTGTCATTGATAAGATATAGCATTTTTTATTCCACTAAAACTCAACTGATTAACTGAATAACAGATCAAGTTAAATAAACTGATTAACAGATTACAAATACCACCCCCAGATTTTCATTCATAATCTATTCCAGCTCATTCAATAGATATCCCATATTTCCAAATATTTTGAAATTGTCCTTTATTTCTTTCGCACTCAACTTCTAGTCTGTATGCAATATACTATTGTCCTTGCATTTAAAATTTGCATAATATCCAAACATTTCTCACCAGGCCGCTGCTGTCTTGGTTTAGGGCTCCTTCCTGGTGGTTCTAGCTACCAACATCTCTTGTCTGGACTTTTGATACTGCTGGAAAGTTGGTGCCCTGCTTTTCTCTGTTCCTAAAGCAGAAGCTGGAGGGTTATCCCCCTACCATAAATCAAATCATCCCCTCTTTTGCTCCAAGTCCTCCACATGGTTTCATTTTTGTTCAGATTAAAAATCAAACTCTCCATACCAGTTGCCATTGGTAATAAGACATTTGTACCTTTGCCTCAGAGTTTTCCTTTTAAGTCCTGAGGAAATAGTCCAAATGAGGACAAATGTTGTGTGAAGGAATGTTTTTTGAAAAAAAAGAAAAAAAGAATGTCCTTTTATCATAATTTACACCATATAGTACCTGTGATGTATAGTTCATATACATATAATAACCAAATAGTATATATATTTCATCTATAGGTAATAATCAAGTAACAGTACAAAAGCCCATGACTTAAATATCCAGCTACAGGAGGATTTTTCAGGTAAATAATACTTTAACAATTGGGTATGTTGAAATATAATATGATCTCAAGAATAATGTTTCTTCGTTTTATAAAATGCTGTGGAAAAATATGTGGCAAGTTGAAAAAATATACAACATAATATATAGAAGATATAGTTATAGAAATATGTATATAAAATACATGCAATGAAAATTATAGCGCTTGAATTAAATTTATGAAAATCTTCCATTTCTGAGTTTGGAAGTTTCTATAATTAGTGTTTCCTACTTTGCTTAAGCAACACAATTACACTTATGATATTAGATGTAAATATTACACAGAAAAACAATACCATGCACTGACAACTTTTTAGCAGTTATTGAGAATGTAAATGCATATGGATAGAGATAAAACAGCTAAGTGTCAAAAATAAAAACTACTTTTAGAATAATGCTATTTATTTTCCTCATACATTTACATTAATGTTATTGAGTTTTAAAAAATAAACAACTTAAACATTTAAAATCCATTACTTTGTATTAATACATTATAGAAAAACTTCACTGCAAAACTTTGTAATCAAGCACATGAAGTCAAGTTTACCTTTCCTGGGAGTGTGCTTCTCGTCTACTTGCAATTCATGGGGGAACTCACTGTTCTCTAATGTGGAACTCAACTCCATTATTACAGCCATTTTGTTTTTCCTTTCTTGGAACAAGTTTTCACCTAATAGGATGATATAAAATCCACAGATTTCAGTCAAAAGGAACAGGCTTCTTTGAAATGTTTCAACAGTGAGCACCATGCAAACAAAATCCATCCCACTCCATCTGAGGCATGGGGTGGGTGGCTCGTTCTCATCACTTGGTTCAACACAAGAGGTGTACTGTTCCTAAGGTTCAGAAACACTTACTATACAGGAGTCAGTGTGTTTCCTTGGTGCCAGTTTAAGAGCTCTGGCCTTGAAGCCAGGGATGCCCTGGTTAAAATCCAGACCCATGATTTACCTGTTACACCAACTCTCACTGGGAACAATTTTGCATACTTCAATTTTCCCATCTGTCATTAACAACAGCAGTAATAAGAACTTCTTCACAAAGTAGTAAGACTTAAATAGAGCTCATTCTTCCAGCACAGTGTGAGGTAGTCAGTGGCAGCAGTGTAACTCAGTTCATTGTCATCATCACTGGAGATACCACACATGTGAGTCACCTCAGAGCTATGCTTCGTAGTCCTCTATCAGTACTGGAGAAGCTGGTTTCTACTGCCCCTGAGGGCTCCCATCTGACCTCCTGATAACTGGGAGCCAAGATTACATAATGAGATGATTTTCAATATAAATCCCACATAACTATTGACCAGAGATTGATAATATGACTACTGAAATCTAGAAATACCTAACATGGAGACCTTTAACTTTCTGCATATAAGAGAACTACAAAAAAGGTCATTACTCCTACACAATGTTAAGAGCTTTAATGCTCAAGGAGATTCCTAGGTTTACCGTGTGTAGACTTACACTCTTCATGCTATGTTAAGCAATCAATTAATTACATTGATGATCGTCTTAAAGTTTCCTTGTGTCTTTGTGGAATGTCTTCCTGACCATCTTTCAGCATCTCTCCCACCGCTGGCAGCTACCGACCTGCTTTTTGTGATGAAGAGTAGATTATACAGGAAGCAAAACCATACAGCACATGCACACTTTTCTCTTGGCATATTTCACTCAGCATAATTATTCTGAGATTATCTGTGTTGTACATCTTAATAGTCCATCTATTTTCAATGCTGAGTAATATTCCATTGCTTGATTATCAATTAGCCTTTTGGTGAAAAGTTGCATTGTCTGCAGGTTTTGACACTTACAAATAAAGTTGCTAGGGAAATTCAAATATAAGTGTATGTATGACATGTGCTTTCATTCCTTTAGATAAATTCTGTCTGGTGAAAGTAACAAGTAATAGGGATTTTAAAGTCACGTTCTACTGGCCTTGAATCACAGAAAGGTGAAAAAATATATGTTATCTGGCAAGGGAAATATAAGTAAAATTTGAAGACCAAAGTGTCACCCTGTAACAGCTGTGTCTGAGTTCAGAAATAATGCCCATGTGTTTTAATACACCTCATTTTAGCAGCCAACAGTGGAGGCTGAAGACTGTGACTCCCCTGAATCACTGATGTTGAATAGATTCTTAGTTCTTCACTGCTTTGACTCTTTGATGGATCTATGTGAGACCTGTTAGTTGTTTCTTCTATGAAATTCAGTAACTTCTGGATGGGAAGATGGTTGGCTTTTCCTAGAAAAAGGTTAAATGGAAGTTCTAAATGGAAAATGAAATGACCAAGAATACATTTCCAGGAATGCTGCTATATCAGAGAGCAAAATACATAAATTGCTGAAGGCCTGGCAGAATGCAAATTGAGAAAGGAGCTCAGGATGGCTCCCACAGAAATCATAGCACACTGTATGGCCATGGTGTCCTGGAGCTAGCTCACCTAGGCTCAAAGAAATTGATTCTTAAATTATTATGAATTTTGCAAGGCAGTTTTTGAAAACAGCCATTATCAACTAAATTATATGAATTTAGAACTCAATTATATTTTTTAAAAAAAGTTATATTTTTAAAAATAGTGAAAATTAATTGCATAATTGTTTTCTCTTTCTGCATTTTATTGTAAACTCTGCTCTTGACATTTCTATTTCATGTTTATATGGTCAGAATACCAAGTAAATGTATGCAATAGCTGGATATAATGGTGCATACCTAAAATCCCAGATGTGTAATTTGGGAAGCTGAGGCAGGAGGATAGTTGTCCAGCCTGGACAACTTAGCAAGTCTCTGTCTCAAAATTTTAGAAAGGGTTCAGTATGAAAGCCCCGAATTTAATCTCCAGTACCCTAAAAAGAGCAAACAACAACAAAAAAGATTCTATGGCATATCTCTCCTCAGCTTGAAATTCATTGATGTTATGCTGATAGCTTGAAATTGTCCATGACAGATATTTTTGTATTTTTTAACAGCAAAAACATTGGCAAAGGCTACAGTTGGGCTGCATCTATTGTACTGCTGACTTCTTGGACTTACTAATATCTGTGGCAGAATGCAGTAGTGTGGCAATGAATGCTCTGCATAGATGACAGTTCTAAATCATTACTTGGACTCCACCTTCTACTGGCTTCCCTTGATTTGATCTGACCTCTCCTTCCAGGCACAGATGTCCTTACTAAGACGATATGCCTCTTGTCAGGCCTGTCTCTCTACTGCCAGTGCTTCTATTCACCAGTGTGATCACCCATCTCCACAGATGAGCCCAGTCCCTTGATTGCCTGCTGAGCTAGCTTCCCATTTGTCTCCTGCTTTGTGAGGAGCTGTCCAAGGCCTTATGAGATAGTTGACCCCTGTACACAGACATCCCGATCACCATACATTATCTCCTGTGTACTCCAAGGGAACTGAGTTGTTTCACTTTTTTTCTGCCAGCAGGTCTGCCACACCCATCTCTCTGTGAAGGACACCTACTGTGACAGTAACCTAAAAACATTGAATGAACTTGAAACTCTAGATTCAAGCACTGTTGATCCTCCCACAGCCCAGTGTTGGATCTGTAATTAGGGGAGGGAGAGGTAATCTAGAAGGAAATTTCAGACCCTCTCCTGGTGAACCAATGAACTGACAACTTCTAATGTCACACATATGCAGTCTCACCTTCTCTTACTGTGCATTTTCAATCAGACTGAGGACCTTCCTACTCTCTTGGCTCTATGCTGAGTGACTCCTTCCCATTTTAACACCTCCTCTTTTTTTGGTCCACAAAACTGCTCTAGTCTAGGGTCAGGGACTCTATGTACCACCCTGAGAAATTCCTGGCCCAAAACAATGTTCATAAGGAAAATGGCATTTTTTTTTTTACACCACTAAGACATTACAAATGCAATCAAAAAGTTATACTGTTTGGTTGAGGATGTAGTAGACTGCTAGCCCAGCATGCCCTGGATTTTATCCCAGTCTTGCATCGGTGGAAGCTGCACCTTCTACATTCCAGCACTGAGGTCTCTCCCTGAATATGGTTTTCTTCCCTCTGCCCTCAGCCCATCATCCTCTGGTGGCCCTGGCCACTGCTGTATTCCCTTGTGTCTCCTACCCCCAGTCATTTTGATATGGCTAAATTTTACCCCATCTCATTGGTTCTTGACCCCAATATTCTCCCAGAAGCTTTCATGGACCAGAGCCATCCTTGCTTTCTCTTGTGCCAAAACCCTGCCCTCTAATCAATCTGAATAGGGACCTAGAGCAATAGCAGTAACCAGGTTGCTGTAGTAGATCTGTCCAGGAGGAAACCAGTACAGCCTTCTAGTGGGGCCAAGAATTGCCCCCTGAGAGACACAGCAGTGGCTGATGATGTTTTATAATCTGAGAGTTTCCTCACCACTGTCCGACAGCCTCTGGTGTACCCCATCAGCTGTTGGCATATCATAATCGTTATAGCCCCTGCTAAACTACCAAGCTAGGCAGCCTACCCTCAATCCCAGATAAAGATATTACTGCATTCTTCTTCCAGGTCACCCAATTGGGAAATAAATAAACTAATATTTGTTCACAAGCCAATTTAATGCCCAAAATTCTCCTTTTAAATACCCCTAGAGTGCCTACTTTTTAGAAATTCCTTCCCAGGGGGCACTGTCTCCCCTAGTTAGTGTCAATATTCAGGGAGAATAGGATACAAATGCCCAGCTTCCAGCTGCACATTCTCTTTCATCACCCTTGTTGACTTGGGATTTTGCAATCTCACTCATATTTTAATCATTTTTATCACTATGAGAACATTAGGCTTCAAAGAGGGTGATATAAAAACTGTCAGCTGTTCCATAGAAAGAACCCTTGGAGATCTTTCATATTAACATTGAGATAAGTGACTCACCGACTCAGTGTCTGAGGAGAGACTTCCAGCAAGAGCCTGTGTTTCTTCCAGCCTGTTCCCTTTACCTTCTTGCCAGCAGAAGACGGAGGCTTGGCTACTCCCAGGCTTGAGTAATCATTAATAAAAGGCGTCAAACTAGAGGCTGCTGTCCAAAGGGCTTCTCGCCAAATGGACTCTGAAGAAATTTAGCAGAAATGTGTGCCTTCTGCCATGGAGTCTTTTCTGCCTCTGTAGCTTCTCCCGCTTTTCTGCTGCTTGTGGTGGTGATGGGGGGTCTCACTCCCTCTCCTATGGGGAACCCCTTGGAACAGGGCAGAGGCACCCTCTGGATTGCATACTTGCAGGTGGTTGTGCTGCTGCTCATGTGCTGTCTTTAACATCTTTGTTTCAGTTTTAGAAAGATTAATAAAAGAGAGAGAAAGGACAACTAAATACAGGCTTAATATTTTCGTGTTTCCCCCTTCAGTGTTATTGTCTTCCCTTTCTTTGGTATCTTGTTTTTCTGCTCTGAAGTATATGAATTATACAGATGAATTTCATTCCCTCTTGCTTCCCCTTTCCTAAGATTCTTTTCTTCATTCCTAACTAAACTGAACCAAATAAATAAAAACACAGGGCTGACAAAAATTCAGTATTCTGCCTGTTTTACTATCTGTGTTTCATTGGTATTTACAGTAGTTGACAGTTCAACTTATTTCGGTCTTGTAGGTGAGGCAATGCCTTTAGACTCAAGGTTTGCTGTTTATTTATTTACTTACTTTTGAAGTTAATTTCAAGCTCTCTGAAAAGCCTGGGTTTATAACCCAGACCCTCTCTGACTTTAAGTCCCTGTAGCCCCAAGGAGTTTTCCTTTTGATTTTGAGTTTAACTATACCTATTGCAACTGTATTGTGATAGTAAACCACCTGCTCATGCTCTGGCTAAGGAAAGGGAGCTTGCTAGTATCTATCACTGAGATCAATAATTCAGAAGGATGAGGCTGGGTCTTAGAGAATTAGAGCTCTGCCAAGCACTTCTGTGCAGTAATCACAATTCTTTCAAGTAAGCTTTACTATATTTCTTATATGAGAAAAGAAAAGAAGAACAGATTAGTACCATTTGCACTTTGAGAATTTAAATATGGAAAAGTTAATTGGCAGGGGGCAGGAGACAGGGGGCGGGGGCAGGAGGCAGGAGTTTCATTTTTTTGTATAATGGATCTTTTCCTTGAATCTTTTTTTTGTAGTACTGTAGCTTGCATCAAGATCTTTCTCACTGAGCTACCCTCTCAGCCCTTTTTAATTTTTGTTTGTGTTTAAGGCAGAGTCTCACTAAGTTGCAGTCCTCCTGTTTCAGCCTCCCACAGTGCTAAGATTACAGGCAATTTGCCGCCAAGCCCAGTTTTCGCTGAGTCATTTTTGAAAGACTCTGGACCCTGGGATAAATAATCAACATCAGAATTACAATATTTCTAACCTTAAATTATTTATATCACAACACATGAGTTTTACAGTTTAATTTTTAACTTTATTTTTAAATACTCACTCATTTTAATCATTTGATCTTAACTTATATTCTACTTGGCTTGACTTGGTAGAAAAAACAAATTCAAGACTTTCCTGTTCAGAAAAAAATAATCCAGCTTTGTTTCACCTCTGATTAGTTTTTCAATATTTTAATATACATTGAAAGATTTTCTTAGTGTAGATTGTGATTCTCACCTTTTTAAAAAAAAATCCAGTTTTCTTTTTGAAAGACATTAATCTTCATTTTTAAAGAATTGTTTATTGGTACAATTTATGGATACATAATGATCACATTCATCATAGGTAATTTGTACCTGTACTATGATATCTCTTACACTGATCTTTGTTGTAGTCAGGGTTTACAAGGTAAACAATTTAGTGCAGGATACATGATTTATAAGATTATTCTATAATATTCATCCAAAGAGTCAAATGCAAAAATGTGTGAGAGATCTGTGCACATACTAGAGACCCAAAGAATCCAGCTGAGAGCCTGGATCTCACAGCAATGTTCTGCACATGTCCAGCTGAAGACCTAGGGCCCATGGCAATGCCCCTCCCCCCATGAGTCCATCTGGAAGGGTAGAGCTCATGACAATGTCTCACGCAAATCTCTTTCAAGGATCTGTGCTGGGAAGGCCCAAAGGTCAGTTGTGGAAGCCAGAAAGTCAGCACCAGTGGGACGAAGGATCTGTGCTAGCAGGCTGAGGGATGTGCACTAGAGCCAGGAAGTGACACTCAAAGTGAAGACCAGAGCTCCCCTGAAAAGAATCACAGCCATCCTCGGCAACAGTGTGGTCCTGAGCTCCTTCGATGAGAACAGCTGAGTTCGTAACAGGAAAACCAGAGCAACAAGTTTCTTCAGGAGAATCAACAGCACACCATCTTCCCCTCTAGCTCTGCTTTTATGCTGTTGGCAACAATCCTCAGGTGGGCCTTCCACACCCAGGACCATGCTGATTCAGTTTGTGTGTTCAGTTTGTGTGTTATAAATTGCCCATTAGATAATCCATTATAATCTTTAAATTGCTGTGTTTCAATATGAAAATCTTTGGAGAAGATAGAGTACTCATTTCTCACTTTAACGGGCATCCTAAAAGTGGTTTCCATAAAAACAACTATCATTATTAATTAGCTACATGACCAAGCAGTAGGAGGTTGGTGCAGATTCTGGGTACCATTTTGGTGGACTCTGGTACATAGTCCTGCTGTGGTCCTAGGAGCCTGTCCTCTTGTGTCTAGAAGGTCAGGACAGGTTCTAGTAGAGGAAGTATATTTGTGTACACACTATACCCCAATCTCTCATTGTCCAGCAAGGATTTAGGTGATTCAGGGGCTGCTGTGCAGCAATTACACTGAGTCTAAACCCTGAGACAGAAAACTTGACTGAAAAGCAGTAGTCATTCCCTGGAGCTCTGCTGATTTTTCATACATTCTAAACTGTGAACCCATGTGCTATGTCATGTCTCCTCTGGACCTTAGTCTTCACTGTAGTTCTGGTAAATCCTTTATCTTCTAAATTCAAGTCAAACTTCTCTTTTGCCTCACCATCTATGACAAATAGGATCAATTGGGTCATCAAACTGACACCATCTGGTCATATGCTGGGTACTGCTCATAGGAGAACGACCAGCCTGTTAAATGTTCAAATAAATATTGTGTCTCTATCCTGTTTTCTAATTATTCTCCTACTTTGCTCCAAATTCCCTTCACAGGAATGTTTTTAGATGGGGCTTATTTAACAGTAAACGTGCTAGGTACTCATTTGTATGTGCACATTCCATGTAACACTTCCATATCTTGCTACAAATACTTATACTAGGTATTATTATCATACCCGTTTTACAGAGCAGTTAAGTAAACTGGTAGTAAGCTATGGGGACAGGAATTCAACCACCTAGAAAGTCTGGCTGCTGTGTCCATCCTCCTGCCCCCAGAACATGATATCTGCTAGTCAAACATTGACACCAACTTTCACCTACAATTTTCCCTATTTTCCTTCTCTTTATATTTTTCTACTACCTTGAGCTGTGTTAATTACCTTTTAATATCTTTAGATAGCCAGCCTTCTTCCCTTCTTTTCTTCCTTCCTAATAGCATAATATTTGTCATTTCTAGGGAAATTTTATTTTTCACAACTGATTCTTTTGTTATGTGCATCAGCAAGTATTTTGATATTATTCATTTACTGAAGTATCTATGCTAATATTTGTATTTACAGGAGTAATTTTCCAGTTAACTTTGGTGCTCTGTCTTTGAAGACGTTGAATTGCACTTATCTATTGATTTTTGTTGACAGTGGTAAATTGTCAAATAGAAGCATATGTTTCCACAGCTTAAATGTAAATTCCTACTTACGGGCAGGTTAAAGAGTCTCCTGATTCCCAAAGTCTATCTTGGGTGAGAAGGATGGAGTTTGAATGTACTGCTGGCCTTATAGTGTGATATTTAGCTTTTTTAACCTGGAGGATCACTGTTCCTGTTTGGAACATTTTTGTTGCCTTGCACTGATCAAGTCAGACAAAGTGTAGATACTGTATTTTTCAAATCTTAAGCAGGAAAAAATGCAAAGGGTAATTTCTCTCACCCTCTTTTTCCCTCCCCTTTTGCTTTTTTACCCTCTACCCCCCTTTTGTAGATGAGAAGTTTGCTCAGGCTTGACTTGGCTTCTTTCAGGTCCCAATATTTATACAAAAGCTTTTGATTTGATTTAATTCCCTTTGGCACTGGCCTTGGTCACACATTCTCATTTTTCTCATGGTGCCAAATCAAGACGAGAAACCAGATGGTTGATTGCTGGTGTTGCCACAAAAGATTGGTTCCTATCACCATATACTGGTCTCTGCACCACAGGGGTAAGCTTTGACTGTGCTCAATTGCCAGATCTGTGCTTACAAGTGGCAGCTGTCCACCTGAAATGGCTTTGGAAGAAAAAGAAAAGATAAAAGGTGTTGAGGACAGAGCTGTCTGTACCTCAGGTAACTAGGACAAGGCCACTGCTTCTCATGAGTTTTGCAGGGCCCCATAAGAGGTGTGCGGAGCTCAGGGAGCTGACGCACGTAGTGACTTGGACCTTCCCCTGATAATATAGACACTTCCTCCCTTGAACCCCATGAAACCACCAGGCCATGCTATTCTGCTGAAGATTAGATATTTTTCCTGTCCCAGATCTTACCCTCCCCTTAAACTCTCTGTGAATTTATTTCATTTGCTGATTGTATAAATAAACACACTGCAGGGCAGTTCCTTCCTCCCATCAAGAGAAAGGGCTCCACCTGACCTCAGCTTTTGTGTGTAGACTTCTGTCTTCCTCATCCTCCACTGTCCTTCCTCCTGAGTTTCAAGAGCTATGCTGGACACTGCAAAAAGGAAAGATGTGAAACTGAGAAGTGTGCAGAAGATACCAACAAGCACAGTTCTGGAGATGACAGGGAGTGGAGTTAAATCTCTCCTCTCAAATCAAATAAAAATTCTTCAAATTCTCACTTCAGCTTTCTTCTCATTCTTTCCATCTCTTCTCTTAGTCTTCTTCAGGATGCCATAGACATGTCTGTTAGTCAGCTCTGGAGTCTCATTC